GTATCAACCAATTTTCAGCTTTCCACCAAAATCGACTATCTCACTACTTCCTAATGGCCAAGTTGTTCAATTAAGGTTCTAAGGTCAGTTAGTGCTTCATGACGCCACTCAGCGGCCCCATATTCTCCTCGATTCAACACAAGGGATATTGGTACCATCAAATGCGTCACACTAATGTAGCCACTACTTCAACCATATCGGTCTACACCGTACAATTTCTTCAATTTATTGCTACTTACCTTAAAAGGTGCCCCAGATCCGGGTAGAGGATCAAAACAAGCCCAAACAAGGAACCAAAATGTAAACCAAACAATTCAAATAAAGAAAAGCAAGCAAAGGTGATCTAGCCCTAAGGTAACCCCACTTTTAAGAATAATCCCCAGCAGAGTTGCCAGTTCTGTAATACGGTGGGAGAACTGACTTGGGTGTTTTGCGTTTGAACACAATTGTTGCGGATAGCAAGAGTCGCCACCGACTTTTATTTTATCCTATAAAGGAAAGGGTGAAAAGAACATGAAAGACCTTTGAGATTATTTTCTTGAGTTCGGGGGGTAGATTATGAAAAGGGAAGGTGTTATCACCCTTTTCATCCATAGTTATCTATGGGCTCTTAGCTGCTTGCTAGATCACTTGCTTTTGTTTGAAAATGTGCTTGTGGTGTGGGTTTTGAAAGTATTTTAAAAATGTCTTTGTAATGGTTCTCGTCTCTATAAGAACACGTACAAAGTATTGTTTGGAAAATAGTTCAAAGAAATGTTTGTGGAATTTGTTTTTGAAAGTGATTTTGAAAAGGTGTCTTTGTAATGGTTCTCGTCTCTATAAGAACGCATACAAAGTGTTTATCTTTTGAAAATATTTCAAAATGAAAGTGTTGGTGTATAAAATGTTTTTGTTATGAGCAAGCGAGAAACTAGGAGCATTCTACCTACTCAAAAGGTCTTTAGTGTTCTTTTCCTCCTCCTTTAGATGTTGCTATCTTACCATTGATTGGTAAGAAGCCCCGCCATTGGATGTAAAGGGATGGGCGTGAGACGTTGTATAGTTATGATGGCAATATTGTACGATATCTTAGCATTTCTCTTGAGGGGCTAAGATCATTTGTAAGGCAACATTCAAAGTGTCATCGAGGGATTATAATCTTGTATTTTTATGATTGTTTTTGCTAAGACACCTCACATGCATGTCATGACCATTTTTAGGAAACAAGTGGAGTTAACTCTGGGGGTGCACGTGTGAATAGTGTTTTTGATTTGCATTCATTTAGTCTTTAATTAGGGATTGTCTACTTGTTGATTTTATCTTTCCATACAAATCCTAATTACTAGCATTTATATGAAAGCGATAAATTACAGAGAGTAAATATCCTACGCTATTACAATCACTTAGGGATGGGGTGTACAAATTTACTAATGGGGTTTGCAAGAAATTAAAATCCTATTTATCTATTACAACTATATTGAAATAATGTACAAGAAATATAAAATAGATTTATTTTGTTTTGTTAAGAGAAGAAATAATTTGCTTAAGAAAATATTTTTAGTCTTTTTTGTTTTAAAAGAAATAAAGTAAAGCATGTGAATATAAAGTATTTTTGGTGTTTTTGATTAATGAAAATAAAATAATGATAAAAATAATAGAGAAAAACAGTTAGAGTTAGTGCGTTACTGGAAGAATAGAAATGCGAGAGAGCAGAAGTTCTGACTCAAGTGCGCTGCAAATCAGAAACAAAATGTTAGCAGAAATGAGGAAGGCCAGAAGTTCTGGATCCGAATGCACTAAAGTTCTGGGGTTGCTGGGAACAAAGGGAAACCTAGAAGTTCTGATTGCTGAGAGAGCCTAGAAGTTCTGATGCAGCCGGGAACCTATAAGTTCTAGTGTGACTGGAAGGCTAGAAGTTCTGGTTGTTGAGAAAGCCTAGAAGTTCTGGTTGTTTAGAGAGTCTGGAAGTTCTGATGCAACTGGAAGCCTAGAAATTCTAGTGTTACTGGAAGGCTAGAAGTTCTGGTAATGGGTAAGTGAGGTGTCAATGCTGTTAGATGAGAATATCTAGAAGTTCTGGTCTAGGAGTACTGTTTTGACACACAAATGGAGGGGTTTATCTAGAAGTTCTGGTCCAGGAATATTGTTTGACAAATAATGGGATAAAAATGTCAAGAAATAAATATAAAAAGATGCTTCTAGGGCTAGAACTCAGAACCCTTAACACTAATGCCTTATACGCGTGCTCTCTACCACTTGGGTGACTATACATCCGGTATTAGAAGCAAGAACATAAACATATATTACAAAGTAAGTTCTGGTGATGAACTTCATCTTCTTCTTCGCGCCAGCCAGAGTATCTGTAACTTAGTCATTTCTCAACAAAAAAATGGAAAAATGCAAACATAGCAGTTATGGCAAATTTCATCATGGTTTCAGAAATACAAAGCATCACAACTGTAAACCAGAAACAAGCATGGATTTCGCTAATCCTAAATTTGAACCCTAATTTCCTCAAGAAGTTCTGATCTGAAATTCTCTCTACTTAGGCCACATAAATGAAATCTATAAATATATACAAATTCAGAACCATGATATCTACATTATGTCTTTGAAATTGCAAGCCTAACAATGTCTAAGTAATGAGATGAAAGTCAGAAGAAACTTACCTTGCAGCTGGATATTGTTCTGTGAGTTAGAGTCTGGTTCAGATTGCTGTGATATTCTGGTCAGCTTCTTCAAGTTCTCAGAAAGCTAAAGCAAACCTTAACTTGAGCTATGAATGGTTGAAATATTCTGGAGTAGCCAAGATGCCAAGTTCTGATTTTTTGAGAGGAGAGTGGTGAAGACTGTATTACAGTTGGAAAACAGAAGTTGGGAAAGCTTCCACGTGTATACCAAAAACTGTATGGATGATTTGACCAAGAAACACACAAGAGAAAATTAGAGTTTGGATGCAAAAATCAGAAACTAGCAGGTTTTGTGTTTATGTTTGCAGTTTCAGGTTCTTGAGAATTTTCAGCAAGGTTTCAAGGCTTTTTCCAATCTTTTGAATCCTTCTACAGTTTACAAATGAAGTTTAATTTATATGCAAATGATTTAGAAGCTTAGAGAAATCAAGAGTACAACCATCATGTGTTATGGATTGTTGACTTGTTTTTGAAGCAAATTTAGACAAGCATGTTTCAAGGCAAGGTAGGTGGTTAACAACTTTAATCACGCCTAATCTGAGTTTGTAGGCATGATTCATGGGGAAGTACACTCAGAAGCAAAGTAAAGTATGAGTTCAAAATAAACTTTGTACAAAAGTTTGCTTTTCAAGGACAACAATAGTACTTTTATGCAACACGTTGGAAGATCTTTTAGATAAAGGCTTAAACGCTGGGATAAAGACTCAAAAGTTGGTGTGAGCATTAAATGATGATGAGATTTAACAAGCAAGAAAGCCTGTAACATGAGATTATGCAGCATATCTTGAAACTGGATTAGAAGTTCAACATAAACGTAACTTAAATTAAGAATAAATGTCCAACTTCTGATCTTTGATTCTCCCTGCTCCAGCATGATCTGAAGGAGTTCTCAGACTTTTCAGAAAGCTTGTAACATGTTGTGTAATCCCTCTTTAAGTCATCTTTGCAAACTCTGATTGTACCTACGTGAAAACTGGCCCAGAAGCTCTAATCAAATTATGATTTAGAAATGTTCAGAATTTACTAAGTGTTTTAGTTTTATGGATGTGTCTTCAAAGATTTATAACTTGAAATCCCAACCTTTCTAGGAGAAGTTTTGTTCTGCAATATTTTAGATCTTATTGAGATCTATAACTCTTGTGTCAGAAGTTCTTTCTGAATCATCTTGCATCAATGATGAAAACCTGGCCAGAAGTTCTGAACTTATCATATTTCTTAACACTTAGAAAAATTTCTAAGTGTTTAGAACTTTTACTTTTCCAAGATAATTTTGACTTTTGATTTTCTTGATGAACCAACTTCATATTCTAACATATCTTAATGAAATGAGATTCTTGAAACTTAGTTTTGATCCAAAAGTCAAAGTTTAATTTTTCAGTGTGCATTTTGACCATTTTGCCCTTGTGCCAATTCCAAACCTAAATTGATGTATAAATGCTGCAAACTTGAGCCCTAGAAGATCTTGTGAGAAAATTCTTGAGAAATGAAAGGACAGATTTTGGGGTACAACAGACTCCTATAAATCTCAACCCAATATCTTCGGCTACACAAGAATTTAAATGGATGTTATCAAACCCGCTCCCTTCACATGTATCCACAATTTTGTTTTGTACTTGTGAAAATTTCGTCATAAAAAATATTATTTGTTGTAATGTATTCTGCTGTTCAAAATTTTTTAATAATAAAATTAATTAATATTCTTTTATTAAACAAATTTTTATAATTGGATAACATTTTTCAAACAACATAATTCCCTCCTATTTTGTTTGTAGACACTTGCTCAATATTTTGTTTCATTAAGAGTGCAAGTAATGTGATGCAATCACCATACTTGATGTAGTTTTTCACGTATGATACATAATAACTTTGTTGGGTAACCTATACGTGTCCTTCACCTTGAAGATGTTATGCTAACGTATGCCCGAGTTATAACAAGATTCTACGATTGAGGTAATTGTCAATTGATCTCTATTTCTTTACAAAAAATCCTTTATTTCGACATTGTAGTTTATGCTAATTATAGGCCATAGCCAGTAGCCACCCCTTCCCAAAACTTGCACATTGCACATGAAAATTAAAAACGCCTAGAATTTCAAAATAATCCGAATATGGGCCGAGTTAGAGACCCAACCAAACAACAGCCCATAAATATATGTCCGAAAATAAAAACAGCGAAATGTAATAAAACTCGACTCAAAAACCCTAAACCATTTTCTTCTATTACTCTATATATAATCATAAAACCCTTCATTTCTCTTCCTCTATCGTTACTCATTTTCATTCTCTAAACCCTAGCACCCTCGCATACTCATTCACCTATCTCTCTCTTCAATGGAGTTTTGGGGTAATCTTCTCTCCCTTATTTCTCTCTATTTTGAAAGAAATCATTTCTGGTTGTTATTAGTCCTATATGGTTATAGCTGTTGTTTTCGTTTTCAATTCTGTTATAATTGTTCGTTTTATTTTCGTACTGCTCTTAGATTCTTGTTTCGGTTAATTTTGATTTGAAGTGTGTTATGTTATGTATTGAAGTTTATGTATAGATTAGGGTTTTGATTTATTGTTAATCTTATACGTTGGTTTGTGATTTAGGTGCCGAGGTTAAGGTTGGCGAATCTCTCAAGGTTGATCCACAACAATTTGAAGCTTGCATTCACCTTTCTCAGGTCAGGGTTTGGGTTTTTTTTTTTTTTGGTTTTGTTCTGTTTTTGCTGTGTGTTTTTATTTAGGGTTTACTAAATTTCTGATTGGTTATTGTGTAGGCTGCACTTGGTGAAACTAAGAAAGACAAAGCCAATGAGCCTGTTTTTCTTTACTTGAAAGTTGGTGACCAGAAGTTTGTTTTCGGAACCCTTAACAGAGAGAAAATTCCTCAGACAACTCTTGATTTGGTTCTGGACAAGGAATTTGAGCTTTCTCACAGTTCCAAAACTTCTAGTGTCCATTTCTGTGGATACAAATCTTACTACCCTTATGATGAATATCCTTGAGCTTCTTAGTTTATTATAACTTGTTTTTGAATTTTTAGTTTAATTTATTGTACTAGTGTATTTTGTTAACCAAATTCTCTCTCAGCTTTGTTATCTAAATGCATTCTTATGTACTGAATTTTATCATCTCTTTGCCCTCTTGGTGTCAACACTAATGACATTGTCTTACTCTTTCTTTTCTTTCAAGACTTTTATTTGTTTTTATAAAAATGTAGTATTGTATTTTTGTATCCCAATGTCTTATAGCTCTGTTATCTAAGTGTACTGTTGATGTTGTAATAGCTTAAACTTTTACTTGCCAATAGCATCATCCTAGTTTTTCCTTAACCACTGGTCTGTTTCTGCCTGCACTGTTGAGGGAGATGATTATTCTGGTGAGGCTTTAAAGTTTCTTATACTGTTGTTTTTAGGTTAGATCATATTTTAATCGTGTTGAAAGCTAAACATTGTTGGATTACCTTTGTCTTGAACAGATAGTGATGAGGAGGAAATTCCTTTGGCTCAACCCATAGAAAATGGTATGTGCTTTATCTTGGTTGGTTAGGTGTGATTTTGGTAACAGCAAACTGAAAGATATTTATCTTATTTTTAGGGAAAACAGAAACAAAGGCTGAGGACCAGAAAGTTTCTGAAGCTAAGAAAGCTACTGCCAAGAGTGGTACACCTGCCAAGGCTGATCAACCTGCTAAGAGTGGTCCATCTGGAAAACAAGTGAAAGTTGTTGATCCAAAGGAGGAAAATGATGATGATTCTGATGATGAGTCTGATGATGATCTTGATAGCTCTGATGAAGAGGTATATTTGGTTTAGTTGCATGTTGCTGTATTTTAATCCAAATTGTGCCCAAAAAATTTAATAAGATACATTTGTTTAATGAGTTTAGTGTGGTGTTATTAGGTTTTATCAGTTAAGAAAAATGTGTTTGTCTTCATTAATGTGCTGATTTTTGTCGTTGATTCCTAGATGGACGATGTTGATAGTGAAGATGAGGATGAGAGTGATGAAGAAGATGAAGAGACTCCTGTGAAGAAGGTAATGCCATAGTTCTATTATAAAATTCTTAGTTATAATATTATTGTTATTATGTTTATGATGGAGAAATGGAAAGGCTTGTTTACAACTTTTTTTACTTTGCTTTTTGTTTTGAAGGTGGACCAGGGGAAGAAGAGGGCTAATGAATCTGCATCTAAAACCCCTGTTCCTTCCAAGAAGTCAAAAAATGCCACTCCTGAGAAAACTGGTGAGACTAAGTTTTATTATGTATATATTACGGTGTTGCTGTTTACATTTTGTATATTATACTGTTGCTGGTTACATTTTTTTCCTCCAAATTGGAGTACTCAAGTTATCGTTCTGTTGTTAATTGCATTAGATGGTAAGAAAGTTGTGCACACAGCAACCCCTCACCCCAAGAAAGGTGCAAAGACTCCAAGCACTGAAGCCAAATCTCCCAAGTCTGCAGGAAATCTCTCTTGCGGTAGCTGCAGCAAGTATGTTTAATTAAACCTAAACCTGATTATTTATTTGTTACTTTTAGGTGGTTTGTGATTAACTTCTTTTTTATATATTTAATAGGACATTCACCTCTGACAGTGCACTTAGTCAGCATAGCAAGGCCAAACATGGTGCTCAGTAATTGTAGTTTGTAGTTTAAATGCATCTGTTTTTCAAATGTAAGTTGAGTATCTTAAGGACGTGTTAGTTGTTCTTAACTTTTTGATCTATTGAACTTGAGGAGTCATGATTATGAAATTGTTTGATGTTACTGGATACGTTACTTGGTGATTATTGCATGATGTTATTGGGTTTACATATTGAAATTTATATTGATTATTTAGAATAATTTTAAATAATCAGGTTTTACCATGTTAATTAAAACTGAACATGATATTGAACCGCAGATGTGTTATATGGTTCGGTACTAATTTTTTAGATTGATGGCTTTTTGTTGTCTTTGCGTGAATTAGATAAATCAGTTTGAGGAAGAGTTAAAAAAGATAAAATCTTGTGTTCGATGTAAAATTAAAATATATCAGCGTGGTGCCTTCTTTTATTATAAAGATTATTAGAATTTAAAAAGAAATATTTTCAAACAGACCAGTCTCATTAGAAGTTTTAGACCTTTTATTCAAAAGATTATTAGAATTTAAAAAGAAACATTTTCAAACAGACCAGTCTCATTAAAAGTTTTAGACCTTTTATTCAAAAGATTATTAGAATTTAAAAAGAAACATTTTCAAACAGACCAGACTCATTAAAAATTTTAGAATATAAATAGAGTGAGTCTTTCAATTGTGAAGCAAATTCTTCAATAGTGTATTAAATTTGTATTTTTTCCATCTTTTATTATATTTTCTTGAAAAAGTTAATTCAGTTCAACCTATGTGATTGGAATAACCTTCGGTTTTGCTTGGGTTTTCTGGATTCTATCTGGTTTGTTGGTTTTTTTTCGGTGTTAGACCAGTTGGGGCGTAAGGTTTCGTTTCTGGTCTAAAATCGGTCTCTCTGGTCCTGATTTCATAACATAACCTTTGATTTTGACAATTTCTGACTTTCTATAATAAATTTAATATTGATTATAGAATATTGAGAATTTTTTTTTGCAATAACTAGGTTTTGAAAAATCGCAAATAATCATTACGTAAATAACTATGTTTTAAAAAACTCCACAAAGAAAGAGCTATCTCAATTGGCGCCTACGCTTTATTTTAAAGGGGAGGCGCCATCTCACTTGGTGTGCTCTAAACCAAGTGAGATGGCGCCTTAATGCAAAGGGGAGGTGATTTTTTGCGTTTTTTATTTTAAATGCGGGATGTGAACGATATAGGATCACAAAAATTCGATTTTTTATTTACACAACGATTATATAAAAAAATACAATAATCAATGATCCTCTGGAACTCCGTAACGATCGATGGTCCAACGAAGTTAATGCGTTCCGGATCTATGAAATCAGTCAGATCTCTATATCTATAAGATCCTCTTTGGTACAGTCGGTTACCCATACCTTCAAAGTTTGGTCGTCTTGGTGGTGAGTGGAGTTCTATGGTTGACCTATAGCACCGATCGCCTGAGTAGGGGGTAGAAAGGAAATGAATCCTGGGGTGTTTGGTATTGAGAATGTTGGGTGCTTTGGTGATGTGGTGGTTGATGATAATTTGGGTCGGCTGAGTCATATTTTTCGTAAAATCTCAGATCAAGACTAAGGTTAGATGTTAAGGGGCCCATATTAAGATATGGAGAAGACTTGAATTGTGGGTGGGGCATGCGACTGTATTGTTATTGTGATTGAAATTGTGGGTGGGGCATGCGACTGTATTGTTATTGTGATTGAAATTGTGGTTGGGTGTGGGGTATATGGGGGTATTGGTATTGAGGTGGGGATCGTGGTTGGTTGTGGGGAAAGTGAGTGTATTCGTATTGCAGTGGTGATTGTGGTTGGGTGGTTGTGGATTTGTTTCGTCGGGGAGGTTGATGTGTGTTGTGTTTGTTGTTGGGGAAATGAGGGTTGTGCCTATTGTGTTCGTGGGACAACCAAATACCTTGGATGATACACGTGTATTTCTGGGTTACTAACTGATATGTACAAAACTGAATATTGATCAGTGTGTCGCATATTACCATGGTTGAGGAAAACTGGGAATTACAAGACATGTCGGTGACGCCTCTGCCACATCTTACACCATTCTGGAGTAAAATATTTCCAGTTGGTAAGATCCCATTGAGCGTCGACCCTTTTGAGACGCCACGGGGACAAACAAGTTGGATCACAAGGTATCTCTTGATGCATTCCAAACTGCATCTTGACACGACCGATGTGGTGCATCTCCACAACATTGAACCGTATGATTGCCGTCTTTGCGCTCCGAATTTCCGCATCCTCGGAGTTTGGTTCATGGTCCAAACTCAAATATGGTCTCCAGATAAACTTTATGGATAAAATTAAATCAGCTTAATGAAAACGTAATAAATAAATAATTTAAAAGTAGAAAAGTTCAAAGGTATGACATACATCATCCGAGCCAAGGTGATCCAATAGAGTGCGATATAGAGCGACATTGAATCTTGGATTCTTGCCGTAATCCATATCCGTCACACAGTACCTAAAGGAATTGAAAAATAGTTTATTTTTCTCATATATTTGGTGAACAAATGAATAATAAATTATATAAGTTATTGACTTATTTTGTTGCGTATCAGAAAACAAGTGCGTTATTGTTGACGGAGTTTAGGGACTCCATTCTCCACCAACCCCAGGCTTGAAGTAAGAAAACGTATCCATAAAAAATACATTTTTCCTTGGTTGCATTTTTACACAAGAAAATGTATAAATGGGTTAAAACAGCAGAATCTCAACTATACTTTCTAGTTTTTTCAAAGTTTCTAAGTAAATTTAAATACATGAAATTTATACTATTCCCCGTACTTTCAAGAAATAAAAAGGTTCTAAAAAGTATCATTATATAATTTTTAGCTTTTATTACCTTAGCTAGCTCGGAGGAATTTTCGTTCAACTCTAGAGTCGCATAATGATTTTTGAGTTCAGTAAGTAGTATACCCTAGCCTCTAGCACCACCACCTTCAACCATATCCTTGCCCAACAATTCCTCGCACAGAGAATTAAGCTGTTGAACCGACCCGTTAACCGCCTTACCGTCGACAGGGATATCCAATAACATGTACACGTCCTCTAGTTTGACGGTACATTCACCTATTGGTAGATGAAATGTGTAAGTCTCTGGTCTCCACCTTTCCAACATTACAAGTATGAACTTTGAATCAATCGTGCAGTTGGAGATATTTATAACATTTTCGAGACCTGCGTATTCGAGATAAGGCACGATCAACGGATCGGGAGCAAGGTAGTTGTGTGACCGGATTCTGAATCTTTTAGTATCTTTCTAATTTGTTTCTCATCCTCGATGTCTCTCTCTAGCCATCATATCAACTCTCTCCTCAGACGCTCCATGGAGTGAATGTGCCAAAATTTCATTTTCATCGTAGATTTGGTGGCCGAGAAAATAACGTAACCATCTCTGGTAAAAATCATGGGAGATGTCATGACGCAAATAACAAAGAAAAAATAAGAAGACAATGCGAGAAAGTGTGAAGAGTGACGAAGAAACGGATGACTTATTTATAAAAATGCATTTTGCATTAGGAGCCATCTCAAATATCAAACATGTTTTTCACTATTCCAATTGATAACCTACGAATTCTGAAACATGACTCATCAGTTTCACAACCGCTATGTTTTCTGTATTCTACATTTTAAAATGGTTTCCAATTCCATTACTTCTTCAACTATAATAATAATAATAATAATAATAATGATAATAATAATAATAATGATAATGATAATGATAATAATGATAATGATAATAATGATAATAATGATAATAATAATAATGATAATAATGATAATAACAATAATAATGATGATGATGATAATAATAATGATAATGATAATAATAATGACGATAATGATAATGATAATGATAATAATGATAATGATGATGATAATGATAATAATGATAATAATGATAATGATAATAATGATAATGATAAGCATTCATTTTTTTCGTCCACCTACTCCTATCGGTTTTACATGATGAGACCTGTTGAAAAGAATCTGCAACATCAATGACAATAAAGGGATGTGGAAGGTTACTATCAGGATTCATCATAAATAGAAAGTTCTGATTAACAATAAAGAGCATTTTGAAATGATCTTTGTGGACAAAGCGATAATATTACTTTTTTGTGCATTTGTAAATCACATGGTGGTTTTTACGTGTTATGTTATTTTTTTTACTTTTCTGTGTTTTGTTATTTTCCGGTTAAACATTATTTCTAGTTAAATACGTTATATTAGTTTTTGTGTGTTTTGTTGTTGTTCTAGTTAAACATTGTTTTCAGTTAAACTCATGACTTAATATGCTATTATTGTGTTTTAGTCATATTTACATGTCGTATTTTCCAATAGTAGAAAACCAGGTAAACTCGAATATTGAATGATTGACGCCATTTTTTGACTTCTGTGTGCATCTGTAAATCATGAGGCCGTTTTTGTGTGTTTTGTTATTTTTTAGTCGGCATATAACATTTATGTTCATCTGTGCATCACAGGGTGATGATATACATGTTGTTGTCCCGACGACACATGTCTCTATTCAATGAAAAATTAGTGTTGGGCCATACGTATGCGGTATCGAACTTTAAGGTTCATGTTAATGTATTGGTTTCCAAACCTTCTTCCCACAAATTTATGGTTCAGTTTACGGGAGGAACGTCTTTTGGGGATGATAATAAAACATGAGATACCCACAAAACCACTGTTGTTTACAAGTTTTTCAAATATAATCGCTGACAAGTTTGATAAGGACGTGCTGATAAGTGAACAAAATGAGTCATCTTTGTTCATGTTTTGTTTGCGCATTTGTATTTCATATATTGTTTTACTCTTATGTAGATGTTCGTTTTTTTGGCATACGTAATTGGAATGGTAGAGAGTATTGAATATTTACAGACGCAGTCAGGTGCCAAAAAACAACAAGTTAATATGGTGTTAAGGGATCACATATGTGTATATCTACTTCCGACGTTCAGGTTATATGATATATGATTTGAATGTAT